TTGGTAGAAAGTAGCAAAATTTTAATTGGATGCCTAAAGTTTGACGCATGTGCTGTTCATTAAAAGTATTCGACCCAGCATAAGTATAAAAATGCATATTATGTGCTTTGAAGGGAATTGATATAACCTCAAAAAGCCTTTTTAGTTTGACACGTATGCTCTTTGCCAAAATTATATAACTGATTATATGTGAAAATGCATATTATACGATCTCAAGGGAATTAACATAACCTCAAACAACAGCATGCACATGAAAACACTCAAAGTAAAAAATTCTATATTTAAATATTATATAATCTTATAAACTTAGATTTAAAGTCATTCTATGAAACGATTACCACGACACCATTCTTGCTTTTTTTATTGAAAAATGTATTCATCACACATTTACACACACACACACACGCACAAAATATACGCATCGAATATACAAATAACTATTCTTGATAAGCAACCGAGTTTACAATTTGTTTTACTCAGATTCGATTGCGTTGACTTGTAAGCGCTTTTCTGTTACAAGCATAGTTTCTAAAATATCAGAGTATCTGTCTGAGTGGCCCAGTAGGCTAAGGATCTCGCCTCAATGCAACTCAATGGTCCTAAGTTCGAATATTCAGTGCAGTAGCGTTTTCAATAAAGCTCATAGTCTCACATGCTTGTGCTTTAACACTTTAGCCTTTGAATTTATTTTTCTGACTTTATGTTTATTATAATAATCATAATTATATAATAATCATTGGTGTCTTGTTTTTTCATGTCAATCAATGTTAAATTGATGTTCTAAAACATATACTTTGAACTGATTAAATTAAAAAGTTACCTCGAAAAGATTTTGCGTTCGTCCGTTTTTACAATTTTCTAAAACATAATAAGTAAAAGAAAAGACGAAGATATTTATATCAAAAAAGCGGGATAAACTTCCGATAGAGAAGCGTAGAATAGGAGAAAAAAACTAAAGTACGCTTAAAAGAAAGCAAGTGATGGGACTAACAGAAAAAATCATGCAGTTGTTTTGGCATAACTCTGTCAATTTCTTAACCTAGTTTTTTCTTTCCAGATCGTGTAAAAAGAATCGAACAATCAGAACTATTGAACTATTTTACACACATATTTTTACATGTATGCAACATCCAGATGGATGGATTTAGCGGCATTTTCTCAATCAATCTGAACTTGTCTGTCCGTCTTGTATTCTTGTATTCCAGCTACAGCTCGTAATTTTTGAGATATTTTGACCAAATTTATGTTCACTAGTGTGTTTTCGCTTACTGACGAACGCTAATGCTTTAGATCCGACGCCTTTTTAATAACTTCTCGTATTATGGAAAGTCGTTATATAAAGAACTGAATTAAGCGAGGCTATGTAGGGTATTTCATAGTAGACCGTGACCCATAATAGCGTTTCTACCTGTTTTATTATTCATAGTTTTTTAATTATTGTTTTCCATTACTCTACAATTCTAGGACCGTAAAACTGGTCCTGGAAGTTGAAATGTTTGTTTTTAAACTATTTTCCCGAAGTTAGAAGAAGACAGAATCGAACGATTATCGTTTTACTTATTAAAAAACTGTGTAGCAAAACGGCGATAAACTGTACAATTCAATCGCGAGAATTCATAATCAACCCCGAAATCTTTATCCCGGGAGAAGCGTTTAAATGCTTCAAATCGATTTCGATGGCGGTTTTTATACAACTACACTGATGCATTTTCGTGTGCAAATGTTCTTTAGCCAAGATGGACACTTACCACAGACAGGAGACATTTGAAATCGAGACTTAAGACTCATTTAAGAAAAAAAGTCTCTTTGGAGTGTTTGCAGAAAAAAAGGCGACAAATTTAAGCAAAAATTTCTTTTAAGTAATAAATTTTTTTCCACATAGTCTACGCACATATTCTTCGGAGCATCTATTACTCCAAAAAAAAAAAAAAAAATGTTTATTCAAAAACAACTACATTGGCTTCCCTTCTTTAGACGAATATAACTTTTTTTTTTTTGTTGTTGTTGTTGTGTTTCATTATATTTTCCGCAAGATTTCTTCGATTCCTTGCGTCATTTATAACTGTTACGATGCAATGTGTTATACAATTAATTGAATTTTTTTTTTGTTTTTTTGTTGTTATTTTAGTTCCTTCTCCCTTTCACTTCTTTTAATTAAAAATTAAAAAAAAATATATATATATTAAAAAATTAAAAACCTACACTGCTTCTGTGCTTAATGTTGGTAAAGGTCAGTGATCGAAATATAAAACAACGGCATTGAGCTAAACTTTAAGAAGGAGAGGAAAAGAAACACTTATGACTACAAAAAAATAACAGACAGAGAGAGAGAGAGAGAGAGAGAGGGAGAGAGAAAGAGATAGCGTGATGAAGATGGAGAGAAGCAAAAAAGGAAATAATAACAATTTTATGTTACTTAAGTAAATAAATAGCGTTTGTAAAAAATAAATAAATAAATGAGAAAAAAAGAAAAAAATGAAAAAACAATAAAAAGTAAATAATCATAATAATACAAAGAGATATGCAAGTCGTGTGAGGCTTAAACTTATTGTCGCAAACAGACACACACATATACATCATTAAACTGTAAATATTTAAATGCTTTTGCACAAAGTAAGCGATTTCTGATGGATGTTTTCTTATGTCTATGAGTAAATTAACGAAATGAAAAGATAAAGGAACTCACACACAACTTTCGCGCCAACACTTTACATTGTATTTTACATAAAAGTGGGCGAACCTCTAGCAAATAACAAAGCAATAAAAAAAAAAGCATTAAACAGCTAACCGCACAAAATCATGTTTCACTCAATCAATTTAAGCTAAGATCGCAACGGCTTATCAACCGCAAAAACGTGATAATAGTTGATAGCAACAAAGAGCAATTTCTAAAATTTTTTTACATACCACTGCAAAAAAAAAAAAAAAAAATTTGTTATTGTTAATCTTTTCACGATTTTCCTTAAACTAGATCTACGTTTATTGCTTTGTTTCGGAATAATATACGATCGACTCTTCCTACTTTTATATGAAGCGCACAACCGCAACAACACGTTGACAGAATTGTAATTTGACATCTTGAGGAAGATATCGTTTTAATTTGATTACAACAAGTTATTGAATTTTTTTTTATCTACTCGATGAAAAATGCACCCGATTGCAATAATAAGCTGGGGATGAAATTTTCATTCATATCGATCTCGTCCCTAATCAACACAGAGAAATTTATTGAAATGAGAGACTTTACTTATAATATATCTCATGTGCGTTGATGTTATCTAAAGTAATTATCAACTTCGCATTACGGGAAAGTATGTGCACCTGTACAATAGCTATTATCATGATACCTATCAGAATACATATATATAAGTCTGAGACAATTAACTCTTCGAAGACATATAAGTCTGAGACAACTAATACTTTCCCATTGTCGAGCAGAGACCATCTAAAGCTGAGACATTACTCTTTCATTACGCTTTCGTTCAGAAGTTATAGACTTAAGACAACCGTTACTTTGACGATTCGTAAATTCAGAATGCATAAACCTCTGGGACAATTAATACTTCGAAGATAAGGCAATTAATACTGCCACGCTTTCTACCAGAGAGCATCTAAAATTGAGACACTTTCTCCAAAACACTAGATACAACTCGCCGGACTTCATGTTGTTATGTTATGTTAAAAAATTTCTTCGCTTTCGAATGTTGCTTGGTTGCTTATCTAAAGCGTTTCGAAATAGAAATTATGGTGTATTAAGAAGTGTGTACTACTCTACGACTGTCTAATGCCATTGTGGATATATTATAGGTTTTCTTGGCCAGGACCCATCTTTCCATTAAAAATGGTCTCAGCAAAAATTACTTTCATTAAATTTCGTTTATCGTGTACTCGATAACTATCGACATCGGCACTCTTAAGTATTGTGAGCATTAACCCAATTATGTGACGTCTAAAAGTCTTTGAGTCTGTATTGAATTTACTTTTTCTATTACTTTAGAAACCTAGAATCTCTGGCCGGTTGGCTTACCACTACGAACAAAAATGTGACCCTCTCATAGCAACGGATCCTCTTTACATTTACCCTCAAGTTAGATTACAATTAGTTCTATCCTATGGCTCTACGATCTTGTATCATAAATTTATCCGGAAATTGCTGCT